CCAGGTAGAACCAGGTAAACCCAGGTAAAGTCCAGGTACAATCAGGTAGAGCCATATAAACTCCAGGTAGAACCAGGTGGAACCAGGTAAAGTCCAGGTAGAACCAGGTAGAACCAGGTAAAGGTAGAAGCTGACAGAGCATCTAAATCTCTACATGTTGCATTAATTAGTAACACGATGGTACGTTTCTTTTTTTCTCAGATGAGGGGCCGTACACAAAACACTCTGCAGGGTCACGACCTCCAGACAGAGCGCTGGCCATCAGGAGGCAGAGTATACCAGGTAAACCCACCCCCCCACTCCCACCTTTACCCTGACCTTTAACCCCTCCACGTTACCCCAGAAGAAGAGMAAACAAAGACCAGGACGAAGAGCAAGCTGAAAATAGAAAGATGCTTGCAGTGGCACTTTACCTGCCTCCACCTGGAGCTGCTGGCCTACACCTGGTCTCTGCTTGGAAGCTGGGTCCAGTTTTACATCAGAACCAGAGGAACCGGTTCTGGAGAAGTTTCAGGTCTTTCAGGTAGAGTTAGAGGTGACGGAGTGGACCGGTCAGATCCTGTTGGACAGCTTTAATCCCTCTGTGGACAGACTGGGTCTGCAGTGTTTCTGTCTCACCTGGAGCTCATTTCCACCRACGTTAAACTCTTGTTTTGATTTAATCTTTTAAAACTTTTTAGCTTTTTTAGTTTTAGTTTTGTAACGTGTAAACGCTGACTCAGCATTTACTTTGTGATTGATTGTTTTTCCCATACATATATTTTTTAATTATTTTTGCAGACTTTTTTCTATTTTAGTCGTTCAAACATCGAAATGTTCGGCTCATTCAGCCGGTGGGTGCTGTGACTTTAGGTTTTGGTGACTTTTATACTTTTTAAATATTTAACTTTGTTTCACATAAAACCTCCGTACAAAAACATGGAGATCGCTTCATTTCCTTCAAAAACTTTGTTCTCTTTGAAAACGGCTTCAGCTACTGGCTCTGTTTGTGTCTTCTGCTACTTTATTTTCTGCTTTTAGCCACTGGTTTRGTACTTTCAGCTACTTTTTAGGCTTTTAGCTACTATTCTGATCCTGTTTGCTGATTTAAACTTGAGTACATGTTCTGCTCATTTTAGCATCTGTTTTGCTAGTTTTTACTTTAGTATTTGACTGACTTTGGCTCATGTTCTGCTTATTTTAGCATCTTTTTAGCTTGCTTTTACTTAAGCATTAGACTAACTTTAGCTCATCTTCTGCTCATTTTAGCATCTGTTTTGCTAGTTTTTACTTTAGCATTTGACTAACTTTAGCTCATTTTGCTCTTTTTAGCTTCTGTTTTGCTAATTTTCCCTTTAGCATTTGACTAACTTCAGCTCATTCTGCTCATT